TTATCCTGACCGGCCACTCGTCAACACCCTTTCGTACTAACGTGGGTGTCCTCCAGTGCTCCACCCCTGGCCTTACTCTGTTTTTAATTTTCATTAATACCTTCCCGGTGACACCAGCTCCTAACTTGGTATCTACGCCGACGACACAACAATTTACTCCTGCCTCGATACTAAGGCTTATCAGTCTAACAAGGTCAAACTGACAGCCGGTGTCCTGAACGGCCTCAAGTGTATCGTTAAATGGCGCAAAAGATGGCTTGTTAATTTTAACGCCTCCAAAACTAAACATATCTCTATTAATCATCTGAGAGAGAGAGAGCCCTCTCTGCCTTCCATCGGCATGGCTGATGCTAACCTCCAGGAAAGTGACGCATTGTGCCTTCTCTGTCTAACGTTCTTAGCTGAAATGAAGTAGAAAGTCTATATTGAATCCATTGCTAGATCAGCTGATAAGAAAGTCAGTTCACTGTGTCAGGCGAGACAATTCTCTCCAGAATCTATCTTTAAGTCTACTATTCGTCCATGCTTAAAATATTGCTGCCAGATATGGTCCGGTGCCCCTGTTATTTACCTAGAGCTCCTTGATAAGATCCAAAGAAGAATCGGTAATATTATTGGTCCTGATCTGGCGGCTCGGCTTACCTATTGCAGTAAGGTTGCTTCTGTGTGCCTTTTCTATAAATACTTCACTTACGTGCTAACACCCTTGGGAAAGGTGTGGATCCTCTTCTCCCTCCAGCTATGGGTAAATAGCAGGACAGACTGGGTTCTATAGCCTTGGATGGCAACTGGTCTAGGAGAAGGAAAACTCTGAATTCAAACCTGCTCTTAGAGGAGGGTGAATGAAGTCTCTCTGAGCCTTGGTTGGCAATCCATTTTAGTGTTGGTGTCACGATAAAAACACCCTTGATAGCCCTAGCGAAGCATCAAGAATTCAGCTATCTGACAAGATTATGAACTACACCAATCAAAGTATTGGTGAGTTCAATCTCGGCTGAGGCCGCAAGATGATGATGATGATGATAAATACTTTCATGGTAATTGTTCAGGTGAGCTTTTCGCTATGGTACCTAGACTTTCTGAATGTAAGCACAGTAATAAACTGGCAACGAGATCTCATCAATTGACTGTTGGGCTGGCGAGATGTAGCCGTAACTTATATGCTAACAGTTGCTTTTCTTGTACTTTTCGCTTGTGGAAATCCCTTCTTGGTCCACGCTTTCCAATCAACTTCAATCTATGTAAATTTAAATGCAATGTCAATCGCTATCTACTGTCCTCCTGATTACTCTTTTCTCTTTCTGCTCATCATTATTTTTTCTGTACTTAATTCTTCCACACCCAGTAATCCCTTGGGTCTTAGTGGCTTTACCGCCTTGCAAAGGATGATAAAAAAACGATTAAACGATAAAAAAAGAAGAAAATTAAGAACTAAACTTGGCTCCAGACAGCGATGTAAAAAATGTTTCACAGAACCACTTCTGGTTACCCGCAGAATATTTATTGTGTGTGTCGCCAAATTTACTGTCTTTTTGAAATTGCTGTTTCGAATCAATATGTTTTGCAAAAACCTTTTTATCATTAAAAATGAGAAGATGGTCGCCCGAGAACCCAAATACAGAGATAATGCTTTAATCACTTCACTCCAAATAAGGCGATAATGACTCTGACGCAAGGGGCTCCTGGGACTACTGGGACTGAAAGAGAATGAAAAGACTTTCAAAGATACCGGAAACCTAAACGAGAATAATAAAAAAAATATTTGATGATTTGATACTTTTAATTCTTTTCTTTCTATCATCTCTATCTATAAAAGGCAGGATGTCTGTGTGTGTGTGTGTGTGTGTGTGTATGTGTAACAAATGCACGGCCGCAATTTTCGACAGATTTGCACCAAAATTTACATGCACATGTTCCAAGTTAATGGAAAGGCCAAGACCGACATTGCATTTCCCAGCTCCCATCGATAGTGGAAATAATCGATTTTTTATGCTTCTACGGCAGTTTTCATGTAGTTTGCGGCCATTTTCTACTGGCCAGAGTGTGAGCCTATAGCTGGCTGCCACGAATAGGCAGGAAGATTCTATTGGCAAGCGTGAGAGCCAACAGCTGACTGACACGAATGTTAACTAGCATGTGGCATGCAAAAAAAATCGATAGCTGCATTCGTCACAAGTGGGAAAAATTTAAATCTGCATGGCACTTTACTCCAATTGGCTCATTCGCTTGCTTAAACTCAACATTGATTCTGATTCCGCAGAACTGGGTTAGGTGTGAAAAAGTAATTGTTGTTAACATTCTTTTTTCATTCGGTTTTTCCAGTTACGAGTCCTTTTTAAAAGCTGATCGTTTTGTGTTCATTTTGTTTAGTTCTTTTTTCGTAACAGATTTAATGTTTAGTTTAGAGCTTAGAAAAAATTCGCAGTGCGAGATAGGCAAGAAGTAAGGCATGTAGCAACATCAGCACGGCAAAGGGCACTCCTTTAAAGGCAAGGAAGGGCAAAAATATTTTAAGTGAAGTGATAGCGATTGCTGTATGAGTCGTACGATTTTTGAATCAAGCACGGGCAACGCCGGGTCATGCTGCTAGTAGTAAATAAAATTTAAGCGTTTAGACGGAGACGTTAGAAGTATAGAGCCATAGTAAACTTAAGAACGAACAGGAAACCTAATCATATATATATATATATATATATATATATATATATATATATATAAATTTTATATATATTATTTATAGATTATATATGCGCGGTACATATTGCAAAAGCACTCGATATCAGTGATCGAGCTAAGATATTTAGCTGGATTGATGTGAGTTTGGGACCTGGGTTTCACGTCCTTGTGATCGTCTGACGAATCTCACGATCGCAAGATCAACGAACAAGAAACGAGGGTTGAAAATACCTATTTTTGCTAAAATAAATAGAATCCAGGGGGAGTGGGAACCAGGCGATAAGCAAACCTATTTACTCCTATTGAGGAAAAAATAAGTAAATAAATAGTAAATAAAATCTCAGTGTTTAAGCGGAGACGTCAGAAGCGTAGAATGAAGTAGATATTTATTTACCCGCGCACATCTGCTGAATTGCAATGGAAGCTGACAAAATATTATTTCCAAAGGCCTACCAAAGATTTTTTTTTTTTTACGGTACGATGCTGGCTCCAGAAGAACGATATCAATAGTATGCTATATGCTGATTCAAACCCAAAAAACAACAGTCGATACTTTCGGGCAGGTCTTTCATGTCCCGCACTCACTCGAATCGGTATATTTGCGCCTAGCGAAAATACGCTTAGCTGGGTTTTCTCGGCCAATGAAATCAATTTTTCCACACAGATTCCACGCGGGAGGAACGATCGTCGAGTATGAGAATTTGGGGGAGGGAAGCGATTTGAAATGAACGCTTTTCTGGTTCCTAGAAAGAAAGAAAGAAAGAAAGAAAGAAAGAAAGAAAGAAAGAAAGAAAAGAAAAGTAAAGTAAAGTAAAGGGGATTAGAAAAGGAAGAGAAGGAGAAGGAAAGGCAAGTTAAGACGGGAGAAATAATCACGAGTGAAGAAAAGTAAATAACGTGGAGGGCTGCAGAAAAGAAAGAAAGAATCGGAGAAGATTGGAGAAGAAAGAAAGAAGAAAACATAAAGGTTACAGAAAAAAAAAGAACTGAAAAAACGAACGAATCAATACGAAACAAAAAAAAAACGGAAGTTCCAACGTTAAACATGGCCGACTGATAAAGTATTGCAGAAAATAAATAATAGAATATATGATGGAAGAGGATCTGGTATCGAAAATGGGGGGAGTTAATGTGAATGTAAATTTGGTGGCGAAAAAAAGAGTGAAAGCATATATGCTATAAAGAAAGAAAGAAAGAAAGAAAGAAAGAAAGAAAGAAAGAAGGAAAAAGAAACAAATATGCGAGAAGAAAAAAAAGGAAGATAAAAAGAAACAAACCAAAAGCAAAGCCTATATGCTATAAAGAAAGAAAGAAAGAAAGAAAGAATGAATGAATGAATGAAAGAAAGAAAAGGAAAATAGAAAGAAAGAAAGAAAACAGAAACAAAACATATATGCTAGAAAGAAAGAAAGAAAGAAAAATAAAGAAGGAAAGAGAAACAAGTATGCGAGAAGAAAGAAAGAAAAAGAAGATGGAAAGAAACAAACCAAAAAAGAAAGAAAGCATA